TACCCTGGTAATTTTTTTGCAGATACGAGGTTTTGAAACAAAAAAAATTTTTTTTTCCATGCGTGTGTGTGTGTGTGTGTGTGTGTGTGTGTGTGTGTGTGTGTGTGTGTGTGGATGTATGTGAACCTCTTATAACTTTTGAACGGCTTGACCTATTTGATCGCGGTTGGTGCCATTCGAAAGGGCTTCGCCAAACTTAGATTTCCTGAAAAATTTTGAGAAATTTGGAGAAATCTAAAAAAAAATAGGAAAAAAAATTTTTTCAGAAGTGGGTCAAAATCGGTTGATTCGTTCGAGAGATATCGTGAACGAAAGAAAACCGAAAAAAGTGTTTTTTTCGGAGTTACTCCGAAATTTCTAGTTTGACCAATTGAAACTTAGAAATTCTTTATGAGGCTTAAAAAACTGCGTAGAATGCGGCCAGCCGCATAAAAATCGGTTCATTCATTCAAAAGTTATTGCGGTTTGAAAATTCAAAAAATAGTGTTCTATTAAACTTCTACCAGACTTTTGAGCTCAAAGAGTGCAAAAGCACAGAAAAGGTATCTTTTCGAGCTCGGAGAGCTCAAAATAACTCACAGATTGTATTTTTGAGCTCGAAGAGCTCAAAAAAAACGGCCATGTATTAACGGAATCAGCGGGAAGTTGCAGGGATGGCCTTTAGGGTCAACTGTTTTCCTAATTTTTTTTTTAATATTTCAATATTAATATTTCAATCTTTCATGAAGATTGAGAAGCTAAAAATGATCTAAAATTTCATTTAATATGACGTCCAGCAAAACAGACGGATACAAGCCAGTCATAAACAAAAATAAACTTTCTCTAAGTAGTTTAATATGAAAAACAAGAGCTAAAGTTCTATAAATTTTCGTAGCTTCTCGTCTCTCTTAGCTTACAGACAAACTACGTTCTACTTTTCTTGATGTATATTCATTGTAAAAATAGATTTAAAAGAGTTCATACGCCTGCTCTTTGACCGAATGGATGTGTAACTACAGTAAAATTCTTTTCAACTATCTCGAAGTTCTTGGTATCTTCGTTCCACTAAGTTAGGAGTTTGAATAATCTGCATTCCGAATTCCTCTACGTAGGTACCAAATCACAATGATTACCAAACTTTCTCTAAAATGGTTAGAACGTTTAAACATTAACATTCAAGCAACATATACTTGACAACCCGGAAATCATCAACAGTTAACAAAAAAAATGTAATAAATTACAAAAGAATAATTAATTATTATTTTTAATATGAAAAAAGTGCTTAATGTATAAGTATTTTGACTGATTTTAGTTCTTACTATATTTATTTATGTTAATAGAACTTTGTGAGTCTAGAGAAATACCTTTGTAGGTAAAGCACGACTACTATCATCAAAGATCCAGCTCTCTACTCGGATTGATGAAAAGATATCAATTTTATGTTTGGAGTTATTGCAAGCCTGTTTGCGTTCGTCCAAATATATCCGGGCATAAATCGTTACCAGGGTAGATTTTCTGACTCACTTCATCTCACGGGTAGACAAAAGTTATTTACATTGTCTTACCATTGTTAGCCAATGAAACTATCTCATATTTCGTATCCAAAGCTATCAATCGTCTCTGTTTTGTGATTACTTTTGTTCCAATAATGAAAACACATTGATTTACTGTGTCATTATTTTATTTTATCACATACTATCTTATTTATATATCGTACTTTACATAAACATTGTGATGGGTGATGCGTCATTTGAATACTTCATAAAATTTAGAAGAAGATATTTGTTTTCAACAATACGACTTTTTAAGTTCTCGTAAAGAAAATTGAAAAATTTTCAGAATTGAGAAGTTATTGATTTTATTTATTTTTATGGTAATCGTTTAAATCTGAGGCTGGAGGCTTGATCAGTAAAATTAAAATTAGAAATGAATGTAATCTTCACCGGAAGAATAGTTTGAAATTTCAGATTTTAATTCTTCGTCAATTGCGTGCATTTTCCAGTCAAGTTCGGTCGCGTGGTGTGCGTCACGCCGCTGTGTTATTTAAATGGGACAACAGCAACATATAGTCGGAGCGGAATTTAAAAAGGGCTCTATTGCTTATTCGCGTTGAGCGGTGTGGCTCCGTTTTTTTATTTTCCGTGATGAAAATTCAATTTTTTTGTAATATTTACATACATTTTTTGCACTAAAATTTTCAAAACGGTTCAAAAAAAGGATTAAATTTTTTCAAAACTTTCTTTTAAAATATTGTTAAGTAAAAAAAAAAAAAGTGTAAAAAAGGCGGCGCTGCGTTCATAGCGTGATCAACAAAGGGTGAACAAGTTAGAGATTGGGAAGGGGGGGGGGACAAAGTGGGAACTCTGAAATTTTCCATGAATAAGGCTCATTATTATGAGTTATTAGTCACCTTTACTTTTTGACGAATATTCAATTATTAGATTAGATTTATTGTTTGCATTGTACAACAGTAAGAACTGCTTTTTACAATTTTTTCATCACAGTGTTAATCTGCCTTTCAAATTTTCTTTCAAACTGCACTCTTTATTTCTTTCAAATTTTCTTATAATCAACTTTCTCACACATAGTTATTCAACATATTCTTACAACTGCGTATCTCTTGCGGCTGTGGACCGATTTGTGCTTCCTGTACTGCATTCGCCTTAATCCTTACTTCTTTCTATAGGTTGTTGGAATAGTGACATGGGGAAATCACAGAGAAAACCCATACCAGTACAGTTCGGCTACTGGAGCGACCCCCGGCGGTTGGTGTTGGAACTATTCTAACAACCGTCGGGGCTCGAACCCTCGTTTCACGACATGATGTACGAACGGACTAATGTCCTAGGCCGCTTGGCCGTCATGCCGCTTGACTATTCATTTATTACTTATTAGCTTATTTATGTCCTGAAAAATTACTTATTACTAATTAGGTTTATTTCTCTTTTACAAAATCCAAACAAATACAATAATTATTTACATTTATCTACACATATCGTACGTGTAGCTCCGAACGACTTTATTTTTTACATCCATGATTCGACAGATTCAGAGTATAATTTTTCACAGAAAATGCAAGCAGTATCGTCAACAGACTGCTTCGATTTCCCTTTTCTTTTCCCCTTTCCTTTAAGTGTACCAGCCAGTCTTGTGTTCCTCTTAGGTGCGTTTTTCGATTGCTGTTTCTTGTCTAAAAGTGTTTATCTATGCGGTGAGCTTGTGATAATCGCAGTACTTTTACGCCTTGAATTGCTGTGACTAGTTTGATTTTCCATTGAAAGAAAGAATAGTTTGAGGTGAAATAATGAAGCTGTATAATTTTCGCTTCTTTTCTGGTTCTTCGTCAGAATATGAGAAACTCTGGTCTCCATAAGCTTCACGAAGAAATTGGTACTTGTATTCATTAGCAGTCATTGCAGTCATTGCAGTCATTAGCAGTCATCCTTGAAGAATGAGCAACAATTTCTTCTTTTTCTTTTTCTTCTTCGATATCTTCACCGCGTAACTAAGTTTGAAAATCATCAGTTTTTATTTGATCCACCATCACCGAAATTGAACACATTTTCCGACTAAGACACTACAATTCGGGTCCATCATCGTCGTCATTATCATCATCGTCATTATCATCACTATTTAAAGTTCGATGCTGAAAACGATAAAATTGCTGGGACTTGGATAGTTTCTGGTGTTCAAATTATTTTAATAACTCCGTTGTTATTAATTATGTTTATTAATAATTATATATATCACTAACTTTAATTTCACATATATATTTATCACAGTTAAGTTTATTTATTATTTATTCAAGGCTAAAATCACAATTAGTTAGCAAAAACGCGATAGATATTAAATAAAGTTTGGTTAGGCACGTGCAAGCCATGCGGTCGAGAAACCAAGATTTCAAAGTAGCTGCAAACAAGCCAAAAAGCACAGAATAATGAAACTGATAACTGCAGGATAAATGAAAATAATCACTGAAACAAATTAAAGTATTATTATATTAATTTAGAGCGCGATTGATTAATTCAAATTAGATTAGATGCGATAGATTTAAAGATGCAATAGTTAGGTTAGACTGCGAGTTACAATGATAATAATAATGCGCGCCAAATATTGGCTAGAGGGCACCTTTAGCTCTGTTGCAGCGCCTGACCTGCCTCCAAGTGGCGCGGCTAAGAAACCTCAAGCGGTTTTAGTTGGTAATATCGGCTGGGAGGAAGCGAGGGAGATTTAAACAATCACCATCATAAACTTCATCATCATCCGCATCAGCAGCTTCGTTATTGTGATCATAGGTTATGTTATTGATGACATTAACTTCCTGCATTTCTTCATCACTGCTACTACTAATATTGGCATTATCATCATCGTCAACGTCATTATCATCGTCACGACATCATCAGTAGTAGTTGTAGTAGTACTAGTAGTAGTAGAAGCATTGCTTGATGGAATGAATTGCTCGGGGGTTGAAATTCCAGCAGCTACAAGAGCTTCGTAAGAATAAACTGATCTCTTGAAAGACCAGATTCCAGTTTTCTTGAAGCCATTTTTGATGGTTTCAGGTTTCGCGGCAGATTTAAACTTAAAAGCTATTAGGATAACTTCGAAACAAATAATCCCTTGGGAAGTCACAAGGGCATTAATAAATGTGCTGGAATTTACATTGTTTTACCTAGTGTACCACTACAATATTAATCAAAATTAGAGCATATTTTTGTCTATATGCTATTTAGTACTTTAGATAAACGTGAAGTAAGTGATGACGTTCTTTTTAATCCACTCATCGAAGAACTAAATCTTCTATGAAAGACAGGAATTTCTGTTCAACTACCATCTTATTCGATTTAAATATATTTTAAAATATCATTAGTTTTTGGAGATAATTTAGGCTTGCATTCGATTCTTGGATTGAGCGAAAGTTTTAATGCAAAAGATTCTTGCCGATTTTGTCTAACCAAAAAAAAATAATTATTTTACAATAGCTGATGAAAATCAGTGCGTTCTACGTGATAAGAATAATTATGAAGCTAAAGTATTAATAAATGATATTTCTTTGAGTGGAATCCGTAGAGAATGTGTCTTCCATAAAGTTGATGGATTTCATGTAATGGAAAATTTATCTGTAGATCCAATGCATGAATTTTTGGAAGGTATTTATCCTCATGATCTTGCATTAATAAAACATGAATATATTTATAAAAAAAAAAAGATATTTAATCTACAAGAACTAAATGATCGGGTGCAAGGATTTAATTATGGAAGCAATTACAATCAAAATAAGCCTGCTGAAATCCTCCCTCATCAGCCGAAATATTAACTTTTGTTCATAACTTGTGCACTATTATAGGTGATCTTGTTGATAAAAAAGATGGACATTGGGGTCAAGTAAAATTTTTAAAAATTATAAGTGAAATTATTAGCAGTAAATTTATATCAAAAGGTACTCACAATTACTTGGGTTCTTGCATAACTAGTTATTTACAAGGTCATAACAAACTTTTTCCCGGCTTATGGATATTTAAACATCATATATTTGTCCATTATCGCAGGATTTTTGAACTTGTTGGGATAATATCTCAAAACTCATCGATCAGAGAAAAGAGTAAACAACAGGAAAATAAAGCCTTTGCGCATGCTTCAAAAAATTGAATTAATGCATGTCATACATTGGCAATCCGTAGTCAGTTGAACCTGCACTATCACTTTACTGCTGGTTGTCATTTGGAATTTGAGAGTACTTCTAGTCCCAAAAATAGTGTCAATCTTCAAGACATTCTCAACAGTATTGAATTTACTGGTTGCTTACCAAAAAATATCAAAGATCAGGTTCAAGAAATTTTATGAATAAAATTTGAGAACAAAAGAATTACAAATAATTCAATTTTAATGAAGCCTACTGAAAATGAACCACAATTTTATAGAGTTAAAAAAATAATAATGATCAACAATGAAGAAATCTTTTTGATATCACAAAACTTACATGATTGCAATTTTAATGAACATACACAGTCATTTAATGTTACTGTTGATAACCCTTATTCTTGGAAACTTTTTGCTTATTCTGATTTGGAGTATTGTACAATAACGTATTTTGATATTTTAAATAACCAAATCTACATACATATATTTTTTTCAGTACTCACTCTTATGCTAAACATTAGAATAATGTTAATTTAATCGTTTGCTGCAATAGCTTAGAGATTATTATTTCAATTTTGAAGAGTGTGTTCTACATAATGATAGAATTAGTGAAAAAAAACTCCTTTAAAAGTGTAATAAATTTTTCAATTTGTGCTAGAATGCTGTTATTTAATAAATATGTCTTATGTGCGACGAGCACGTAATTAATTTAGTACTGCAATAATATTTATTATTTTTAACGATAAGAAAAAAATATACATAGAGATGAGCCAGCGCAAGCGACCCGAGAGACGAGTGCGCTGAACGAAAGAAAGAAAGTAAAAGCGAGAAGAGTGGGACTGAGAAATAGTAGGGACACTAGCGTGCGTGCGCTGCCGCCCGAGAGAGTAGGGGCTCTAGTTCACCGAACGCTGCTAGGCGTCGCAATTTAGCTTGCGCTGTCTCGAAGTAGAATGGCATTCTGAGGACTTAACTGCGATTTTCTCGGTAGTTTTGGTCATTCTTACTTGAGCTGTGAAGTGAAATATGTCTCGCAGAACAGCAGTAGAGCATCAAGGATCGAGGATACAGGTATTGTATTCCAGAATTCTCACGTTCTTTCTGATCGCCGAACGACCGTGTGTGTTCTGATTGTGGGTATTCTCTACGGTCGGACATACACCCCAGTAGACGAGGTTACCAAGGAGAGCGGAGTTACGCTCATCGAGGTAATACTCAGTTATATAACGCGTTATAGCTGCAGATTATTCTCTAGGTATCCCTGAACATATCCTCATAGTCGCGTATTTTGCCCAGAACCTAGGCGGGGTACTTCCTGGATTGGTTTATCTAATCGGGGTATTCAGGTGGAGGCGAAGAGATTGTGGGTGTGACACGTCCCCGGCACTCTTTTGGCTACAGAGCCTAACTCTGTAGGTAGAGGGGAAGGGTACAAGTCCGTTTAGTAACGAGTAAGGGTGAGTTTCCGTGGAACGCGTCGCGAGTCCCAAGTAGTAGAGGTCGCGACTCGTTTCTCAAAGAAACACGTATATAAAGATTGTATATATGTAGTTACTATTATTTTACTATTATAGTTTTAATATTTTCAATTGACAAATTGTAAGGCTTGTCTAAGTAGCAAGATTTAATATTTATAACTTTTTCTTCTTATTTATCATTTAGTTATTAGTTATTAATAAAATAAACTATTGTTTTATTCTTATTATTTGTTCAATAAGTAAACCTGACTCCTTTTAGCATTAGCAAGCATGGCTTTAGTATAAATTAAGTAAAGTTATCTGTAGTTGTGTGATCCTCGAAATGAACTTTGGGCCCGGCAAGCTACTCCACTGGAGGAAACCTTCGAAAAACATTCGGGGTATATTTTGACTGTAAAATCGAAAAAGTTTAGTTTTTTATACCTTCTGTGTAGTTTTTATATGATTGCAATCATGATGATTTTAACTATCTCCGATGGTAAAAGATACCATCTAGATAATAAACCATATAATCATAATTGTGGGAATTAATATATACTGATTGTGCTAATTACAATCGCCAGATAGTTGTATTTATCATTTTTGGAAAAGTTAATAACTATACTGGATAGTAGAAGCTACAAAATAGGGATGGTTACCGTTAACATCAAATTCTCTTCGTGTACATAGTTCTTCGGCAGTTAAATCAGACAACCGCTCTTCCTGCTCTTTCAAATATTTCACCAAATCTTCCTCTTGTTTCGGACTGAAGACAGTCTTATTTCTTCCTAAACCTATCATTGAAAAATAAAAGTATAAATTAATTAAAAATGAACATTGTATTAATAGATTAAAGTTCCAAGAACAGCAATAATTTATTTCGTTACGTTTTTCAATACTATGTTCTAAGTTAGAATTAACTGTATAAATTTTTATTCTTCATTGTAGAGTTGACCTTCGAATGTTGTAAGCTTTAGCAGCAGCTTTGACACCTAAATTACCATTTACAACTTCAGTAATAGCTTTCGCCATAGACAGTTTATTCTATTTTTATGTCCACCTTTTTTTATAATTTCACACCATTTTCAATAAATGAGAGTAATAATAATATTTTTTATCACTTAATTAACAGCAATGCACTTGCTCAAATTTCCAATGTTTACTAAGCAGTATTGACAGGTAATCCAGGTTAGGTTGATCAGCTGGTGGAGGTTCGGAGTAGATTTTAGTGTACATGCACAGCAACTATTTCAAAACGAGAAATTTACGCATGCGCAGTACGTCTGGAGATATTGTTTACATTTCTTTAAGCGCGCGAAGTTTGAAAGCATGCGCATGTGCGAAAGTTTTATTCGTCTGAAAGATAAAGAAAGACTGAAAACTGTAAGAATTTGCAAATGAGCATTGTTTGAAAAATATTTATTCAGCATGCATTTGAATAAACTTAAAAAAAGTAAAGCCAATGAAGAACAATTTTATAACAAAATTTTTGGAGGGGGCCCACTTTGCCCCATATTTTAAAATTCGAAATTTATTATGAACACAGCTTATTCATAACATATTTGAAGTGAAGAATTTAAAAAAAGTAAAACGAGCAATAAATTTGTCTTACACAATTTTTTAAGATGGGGGCCCATTTTGCCCCACGTTCTAGATTTTTTCATTTTAATGGAGACAGCTTATCAATGTTAAATAACAAACAAGTACCTATAAATTAGTGTAACAAGTAAAAAAAAGTCAAGATAATCCCATTTCTAGCTTACGGGGCCCACTTTGCCCCCCCCCCCCCCCCGCCCCTATATTAATTGGAAATAAAATTTTCTTTGTCTCCGTAAAATGGACGGCTAAGTTCTGAATCTATTTATGGGTCTTAGTTCCGACATGCTATAGCATGTCAAAATAATTCGAAATTCAATTGTAATGCTTCGATAGGGATGGCAACAATATATTTAATATCTGTAATCACGTGAAAACTTTTAAATAGTGAAGAACTTTCGACAAATATTATATATGGCTGAACTTTAACTTTTTTTTTTAACGCACTCGTTTTTTTATGATCGATGATTTTATTAACCTTAGCTTCAGTCTGTAAATAATTAATATTTTTTCTTAAAGAACCTTAAGAATTTTAAATGAGATTTTAATAGATTTTATATATTCACCTCTACTCGAACTAAGAAATCATTTATAGTTGATGACTTTAAAGACTCAACGGTCTTACCCAACGACTCTTCAACAATACTTTCATCGATTTTTCTTTTCTTCATAGTTTTTGAAGTCAAAGGTTTTATTTTTGTTGGTTTCTTCATAAATCCTAGTAATAATAATAACACAACTTATTTGTTATTTAAAAAGAATAGTAAAATAATAATTAATAATATAAGAGAAATATTCAATAATTTGGAGTTAATTTTTCATGTAATTATTCTCAACTGACGTTCAGTCAAATTTGGTATTGCAGTAATTATTTATTTATTTATTTATTTCAAATAGAATAAACGCCGATCGGCTCTATACATACAAGGTTTTTACAATTATGTTTTAGGCTTCTGAATGATTACTTAATTAAGAATCAATCTTGACATTCCCAACTGATTCTTTTTATATACTAGTCTATAATTTTGTGTACCTTGTAGATAGCATTTATGAAGCATGCTTCCTGGTCTTCGGCTTCTATCGTCACATGCTGATATACCACTTTGGACCTGCTTGTGGCAAACAGGTCTATCTGGCGAGTTCCCCATTTTTTGAAGATCATTTTGGTTATGCTGGGCTTCAGATACTAATCTGTTAAAGGCGATCCCAATGTTACACTCATCAAGAGCTTTCATTTGAATACCCACATGCATTTTGATATATTTTTCATATATACATATATATATAATATATATAAATATATAAAATATATGAAAAATTGATATGGGTACTCAAATGAAAGGTCTCGATGAGTGTAACATCGGGATGAGCTTATATCCTTAAAAATGTCAATAGTTCACAAGATACAAAGTTTTCGAATGCAACCTAAATACTTATCATCATAAATTGACTATCGATGAGAATGATATGAAAGCTTGAAAAGGCACAAATTTAAGTCAAGTTAATTTTTTTTTCCGTGTAGGATTTAAACTTATATATCGTGGGAACCATTCCTATACTATTATGGGAATGGTTCCCATAAATTATGGAAACCATTCCTATAATAGTATGGGAATAATTCCTATATTAGTATAGGAATGATTCTTATAGCATTATGGGAACCATTCCCATAATATTATAGGAATAATTCCTATAATGGTATAGGAATGATTCCTATAGCATTATGGGAACCATTCCCATAATATTATGGGATTAGTTCCCATAATGATATAGGAATAGTTTCTATAATAGTATAGGAATTATTCCTATAGCATTATGGGAACTATTCCCATAATGGTATAGGAATAGTTTCCATAATTTTCTTTCCGTATACTCTGGTAGTTCCATAAATATTTTTTCTTCCAAAAATCTATTTAAATAAGCTGCTACAACATCTATTTGATAAACTGGTAAGCCGTCACGTACAGCTAATGCCATCAAAAGCCTGACAGAATCCAGCCTAGCTACAGGTGCAAAATTATCAGTGAAGCCTATCTATTCCTTATCGATGTGTAAACCCTCGAGCAACATGTTAAAAAAGATAAATACATAATTGTTACAAAATTCTTCAATTTTTATAATCAAATGCATGTTATAGCTGATAAACAATAGCTACAAATTTGATCTTTAATCAATTTTGAAGAGTAATTAGTCCTTTATATAAACGACTTGAATGCTCAATGTCGTATCTCTAAGTTTAAATATAATATCGGATTATTACTTGATAAATTAAGTAGCCGCTTTAACTCCAATATCGTGTAATATTGGAAAATATTTTAAAAAATTAAAACAAATGTTTCTTACCATTTCGTTAAGTCTGGTTATTTTCATAATTTTGTTTAAATTCAAAAGATGATGATAGTGAAAGTCAGAATTTGTCTATATCAAATATTTAAGTTCATAAACAATCAAAATATTAATAAAAAAAATTTTTTTTCATCCTTATTGAGAAATAATGATAATAATGATTTTTAAAAATAAAATAAGTTCTTAACTAATAATTTAAACAATTGAAATATAAAATTACGATTTTAAAATATTTTATTACACAATACGTCAACATTTTCTTATTGAACGTCATTAACGAACAAGTTCATTATCGGACTTAGGGTTTAAAAGAAGGATCTCTCGGAGAGTGGTGGAGGATCTCCGAGCTTAAAATCAAACTTCTGGGTCAATCATAGGACCTCGAGGTTCAATACAGGAGCTAGTTGGTTTATTGGTGCCTAAATGGGTTCTGATTCGGGTTAGAGGGTTCAATGTAGCCTCTAAATTTCGGCTCGGGTACCGATACAAAACGCTTTCACTCCTACAAACTTCTTTTTGCTATTACTCCTTCTTCTATCATATCTGTCATATTCACAACATTTTCCAGTATATCACAGTAGTTTGTTATGAATCTTACAATTACTGCCATTAACTATTTATAGTTAAACTCTACATATACATGTAAAAAAATTAATGTATCACCTTCAAAGTTTATTGATCGAAAGTCCAAATTTTTTAAGAATCAAACTATTATTATTTCTGATCCGTTGAAGAGCTTAACATTTCCAAAAAGTACAATTTGGTTTTATTTCAATTTTTTGGTTTTTTATTGCTAAGAATAAGTGAAGTTCATCTATAAATTATTATTATTATTATTATTATTATTATTATTATTATTATTATTATTTGTGTTGTAGATTAAAAATATTTTTAAATCAATTTACGTCAATACTTAATTTTTTACTATGTAAGTTATTATCTATGTACGTCAATAATTTTTATCTATGCTTCGAGTTTTAACGTTTTATCAGTGAGTCATTATTTTGTAATTATAACTAGTGCTGCTTGTTCTTTAGTAATAAGAAAAATTAATGGCGTTTATAATTGATTTGTCATTGATCTAACGATAGTGACGTATATAATATTATAAATTAACTAATAAATTACAAATTTATCGATAAATCTATCGACTTAAGGTTGAGATAACCTGACTTGATTTTTAGTATCTGGTAGAACTCAACCGATCGCTTTGAACTTGTAAAATAATTTATAATTTCCAATAGTAATTATTTTTCTAAAATGAGAATGTTAATTGCATTAGTATTGTTAAATCTCACTTGGATTATATCGGTAAGTACTAATTAAAATTCATTACACTGGCACACAAAAAAAAATTAAGTAGAATATGCATTTGACCGGGCCTACCTACGGGTACGTATTTTGGTCCGCTGAGTCCGAATTCGAGGTCAGTTTGACCCCTACACCCTCGAAATTTCGAGAAAACTTCGAAAAACCGTAAAAATGATGAAAATCGGCAGTTTTAATGATAAAAAAAATGTTTTGGAACTGAACTAATCGTGATTTTCATGTATTTCGATCCGTTGAATATGAATCGAAACTTTATTGAGACCACGAGCCGTTTTAAATGTAAAAAAATTACACAAACCCTCCAAAATTCCGAAAAAAGTACTTTTTTGGTTTTTTTACTCTCGTTTTTGACTTTTGAAGACTTAATTGCTTGTGCCTGTAACCAGGGCACCTCCACGTGGTGACGGTGGGCAACAGAACCATCTGGCAGAGTCCCTGGGTTAACGGCGTGTGTGCCCCCGCATGGAGAAATATATATGTCAAAAATATATGTCGCATATATAATATCTATGCCGCATACATTTACGCAAAAAAAAAATATGTCAACATATATTTTTCACATAGATGCTGACATATATGCAGAGATACATGCTTACATATATGTAGACATATATGTAAGCATGCACTGAAAAAAAAATTTCTAAGTTTGAGAATTTTTTTACTCAAATCAAGAAAGTTAAATTTTTCAAAATTATTTTCTTGATTCAAGTTAAATTTTTTTGTGTATCTCTAGACACTTATATGCGCAGATATATGTGAACATATATGCACGCATATATGTGAACATATATCTACGCATGTATGTGAACATATATGCGGACATATATTTAGCGCAAAAAAAATATATGTGAAAATATATATTTGCATATATTTTTCCATGCGGGCCGTCATGGCAGGTACAAGTGATAAGTACTTTACGATGCAGGGAGTCGGAGCCCCAGTATCGGCGTCTGGTCAGGGTGAGAAAGCAGGCTCGCAGGCGTCGTCATCAAGCGACTGCAGCTCTTCAGAAGTGAGAAACTTGGCTACTGGAGAGTATACTATTACAAGAAGTAATTCTCATCTGTGTAATAAAAGTCCTGATTCATTTTGTTACATTTGTGCAAAATTCAATTTGGAAAGGAATCGAAGATCGTTATCGGATAAGATCAAACAAATTTATGAAGAATATTTCGGTCTCCAAATTACTAATTTGGATGCAGCATGGGTTCCACATACGATTTGTAGTCGATGTAACATGATGTTAACCTGGTGGGAAAAAAAAAAGAAACAGGACAACTTGAAATTCACAATACCAATGATATGGTCTTCACCAACTGGTTTACAGAATTTTTATTTCTGTATGACAGATACTACCGGGTTCACCTGGAATACAAAAAACAATATTGTATACGCCAATGTTTCATCAGCTATTAAGCCACAAAAAATAGAAGTTGTCAAGGAAATTAATACGGTTGAAGAAATGGATGTAGAAGAAGACGATACGGTAGTTGAAGAAAGTTCGGAAGAAGAATATTCAGAAGATGAAGAGTACTTACCTGGCGGAAAAACAAAAGACTCTGAAACGTTTAGCCGAGAAGAACTTAATGATCTGGTTCGAGACTTGGCTTTACCGAAAGATGGAGCTGAATTACTTGCATCAAGGTTGAAAGAAAAACATTTGTTGGCTAAAGGTTTATCAGTGACATTTTATCGAAATAGGGAAAAAAAATTCCGGAAATTTTTTATGAACGACGATCAAAGTTCTACTTAATTCTACTTAATTTTTTTTGTGTGCCGGTGTAACTATTAATACACTTTTGAATCAAAATATTGAGCCCACGTAAGTCGACAAAAACACAAACAATTTTATTTCCATGAATTCTTAGGATATTTTTTTTCTAGCTAGTTAAGTAAAGACAAAGAATAAACCTTAAGTGCATTAAAAACCCCGTTTTTCGAAAATCAAGTTTTCATCAGATCTCGACGTTTTGCGGTCCTAGGAAGCTTCCCTGACTATTCCCGCGAAGGTGTCACTATGTCTGTGTGTGTGTGTGTGTGTGTGTGTGTGTGTGTGTGTGTGTGTGTGTGTGTGTAAGTATGTAAACCTCTTATAACTTTTGAACGGTTGATCTGATTTCATCGCGGTTGTTGCCATTCGAAAGGGCTTGACTAAACTTAGATTTCCTGAAAATTTGAACCGATTTGGACCGATAGCTTTTGAGAAATTTAGAGAAATCTCCAAAAAAATAGGAAAAAATAGAAAAAAAAATTTTTTCAGAAGTGGTTTTTTTGGAATAACTTTTAAACGGCTCTACCGATCGATTTCAAAAACTAATCAGCTCTCAACCTTAAAAAACCACTTCAATTGCCGCCAATCCGGTCAAAATCGGTTGATTCGTTCAAGAGATATCGTGAACGAAAAAAAACCGAAAAAAGTGTTTTTTCGGAATTACTCCGAAATTTCTAGTTTAACCAATTGAAACTTAAGAATTCTTTATGAGGCTTAAAAAACTGCGTAGAATGCCGCCAACCGCGTGAAAATCGGTTCATTCATTTAAAAGTTATTGCGATTTGAAAATAAAAAAAATAGTGTTTTATCAAATTTCTATCAAACTTTTGAGCTCGGAGAGCTCTAAAACTGTATTTATGAGAGCTCTAAATTTTATTTATGAGCTCGAAAAGCTCTAAAACGTCATAAGTGCAATTTCAAGCGTTTAGGTATAGAATTGGCGGGAAGTTGCAGGAATGTCCTTCAGGGTCAACCGTATTCCTAATTTTTTTAAATCAAATTTTATGAAAATCTTCTATTACTTTTGAAAAATATTTATTGTTTCATTAAGTTCCAATAGATTTAAGTCAATAAGTGAATTATTTCGATTCAAATTGAACATAATTGAATTTGATCAAGTTAAATTTTATTGTAATGATTATAAAAATTTGAATGTAGGTCCATGGTGATTCTCAAGTTTATGGCCCAAATACTCCGATCTATCATATAGAACCAGATCGTACTGGAAAATACATTACAGTCAGAAGGCAAGATAATGTAAGTTTACTATCACTTAATTTATTACTTAATTTATTTCTCATTTAACTTTTAAATTTTCATTTTAGGTTCTTACAAGTCACGGATCTAAGTATTCAAAGGGCGGTAAGTTTTCACAAGAAAATTGTTTTTCGCTTAATAGCACCTCACGTTTAATTCTAAAAATCGTAGAAATTTTATAAAAAAATATCGCATTGTAATGTAAATATTATTCTTTATTTTTACTTATTAAATTTATACGCCAAGGTAACAGCCAAATAGCAATTTATACAAAACATAATACAAATCCGTAAGAGCCAACAAAAATATGAAACACATTTTAAACAAAGATTTATTAAATACAATAAAATAAACAAGTCTAATAGCTACTATTTACTTCGGGATCAAAAAAAAAAAACCTGAAAAACGGTTGACCCTGTAAGCCATCCCTGGAACTTTAGCTTTGTACAAAACGCTCGAGACATTATCTATTCCGATTGTGAACTATTCGAGATCAAAAACACAACTTTTATTATTTTTCAAGCTCTTCGAGCTCGAAATTCCAGTGGTTGTTAAGATCATATTTCTTTTTAATTTTTAATTGCAATATCGTCCGAAAGAATTAATCGTTTTTTATGGATCTTGTAGCATTCGAAACAGTTTTTCAAGCACAAAAAAATTATGTGTTACCTACCACGGGATTCAGCGTAAAATTTTGAAGTTATGTTAAAAAACACTTTTTTGGAATGATCTAAAATTAAATATCTCAAACGAATCGATCGATTTTGATGCAGTTTGCAGCAATCAATGTATTTTTTTGAGGTTAAGAGCTGATTAAATTTTGAAATTGATTGATACATTAGTCTAAAAGTTACTCAAAAAAAAAAAAATTTTTGAAAATTTTTAACTTTTCGCTGAGAAAATTGAAAATTTTCAAAAGGCAGGAAATTATTGGTTTCACCCCGTTTTTCGAAAATCGAGTTTCCAACAGATGTTGACGTTTTGAGGTCCTAGAAAACTTCCTCTGTATGTGTGTGTGTGTGTGTGTGTTTTTTTTTTTTTTTTTTTTTTTTTTTCCCAAAGAGGTACGAAAAAAGATCTTCAAAAGACACCGCTATCGTTAACTCTGCCGCCCATCTTACGGCAGATATCGATAGTCGGTAGTGTGGAGATTTTTACCCACTAAAAAAAACATTCCTCTTCCCCTCTCCCCTAGATGGTACGGGGAGGACTGGATTGGAACCGCGTTAGCATTACTTCAATCCAGCCGTGCTGCGTCTCACGACGCCTACTCCTGGCTACTGGTCTCTTTCTGCGATTTTGTCTTTCAGGAGCTGCTGTGCATAAGCTGCAACAGCTGACCAGTTTTCCTCTTGTTTGATCATATAGGTCACCAGGCTTGAGGGCGAGAGCCTGGAGCCTATGATCTCTTCGGTGCTTCTTCTGTAAACCTTCCACCAAACACAGTCGAAGAATGTGTGTTCGGCGTCGTAGATTTTATCCGGGCAGTATTTGCATGCTGGTGTGTTGTGTAGACCCATCTTGAAGAGATAGGCGTTGTACTACCC